GTTCATCTGCAATATAAGCGATTGTCATTACTCTGTACACGAAATTATTATAAGATACCAATGCAGTTCTATACCGTAACACGGTAACAAAGATTGCAATCTCGAACCGTCATTCAGCACTCTTGTCCTTTATGTAAAAAATGCAATGACAACACTTATCTAATTTGAAAAATATATCAACAACTAATATATCTTTTGTTAATTGAAATGATACTGGGTTGGACATTATAATTTCCTGTATTATCATCTTTCGTGTATTAAAGCTCGGGGTTTCTCAACGAATTACGGTTTTGTGCCACAATAGGGTGAACATAAGGCCACTTTCGATTTCACATGTTATTTAATCAGCCAGTATCAGGAAGTTATTGCCCCGATTGAGGCTTCCTTTTACAAATAATAATCCTTCCATCTCTCACTCTCCATTTCTCTATCTATCTCTTTCAAATTCTCATTTTCTGGCTGCTTAAAAGTGATTTATTTTTCGTTACAATAGTTAAAGCTGCATCTCCATTGAATTTTCTATTGCGCATTTTCCTCTTCTTAATATTCAGAATCTCTGTTTAATAATCTAAAGTATTATATTTAAATATACCTTCTAGTGAATAACGACTCCCATAATATGATTAACGATTAGTGGAATATATTGATATCTGTTACATTCAATTTCTTTCTCTCAGTTGTATTTTTTTCTCTCTCACTTAAAGAATTTTTCAGATGATTTCATGATTTTCTTTCAAATTGGGGATGAGGGATAGCGTGCAAGACAACACAGTGGGTACATAATGTTTCATATCAGTAGACCTGCCAATTATTAAAGGAAACAGTCATCGTTTGTTATTGTTGATGTTGTTCACATTTTAGACTTGGATCATTTCATCCGTGACAAACCAAGCTGAACAAATTTATTACAACTTTGGAAAAGGTTTCTCATATTTAGCACTGGCGGATGACCTTAATCATTGCTGGATAGCCTTATACCGTGTGAGCGTTTGATTACAATATAGCAAGGTGTCGTAATTGTTACTTGTCAAAAATGATTTGAATAAATCTGAAGATATATTTCTGCACGAATCGTACTTTGGAAAGGTAGCTTTTGAAGAGCTAAACTTATCATCCTTTCTTAATCTTTGCATAATTTTGGAAGGAATTTTTGGGGAAAATTCTTCCACGTATTCTTACTTAAATATGTTCTAGACTTACGAATCAATGCAAATTACATAGTTACATACAAATATTCACTTTTTCGAATCTGATTGAGTGTAATCTATATATTCCTTTCTGTAATCCTTTAAGAAATATATCGCAATATTTCTGTAGGATAAACAAAAATTATAATTTGTTTTGGCTCGCGTTATTGATAGGCTAAGTATAATAATATTGGCATGTGTTACGAATAAGGTTTATATTCGCGTTATTTTTAATTTGGTTTCGGGGTTGAACACCAGCTGGTATCTAATTCATCAACAGTTGTTTAATTGAAGATAAAGAGTATGCCAAATGGAATTTACACTGATTGTTAAATGTTTATCGGAAATCATAATCACAATATCAATAACAATGAGAAAAATAATAACTGTACATTACTATAACAATAACAACAACATTAATTATAATAATGATAGTGATAAATGATTAATGAATTTTAATTTCGTGTCCCATCACACATTGACTGTTTGCCAACAGCAAGCATACTCAATCCCTTTTTATCATTTTCTTGATACGCGAATATACACAATGATAAAAATTATGGTAATCAATATTGAACGTAATCAGGACATATTTCATATAGAGTCATGTTTTATCATGTAAAACAGTCATAAAAAGTAATGCTTTCAAGTAAGCTTTGAAAGTTTAAATGGCTGGAAGGTTTCCCCTTCTGAACAAAATCTGATACACATGTAGTGCAATACAATTAAAGACACCATGATAAAAAACATGTCTCCCTCCACCCCATCTCAGAAGAAGTTGTGAAAAACATTTTCGTTTGTTTGTTTGTTTTGTTTGTTTTGTTTGTGTAGGTTTTCAACAACTTTAAAGACTTCTGCTCCCCTTCACCGTAAAAAAACACACCTGGATTCACCACTGATTAAACTATCATTCATACATTGACACAAGTCCAACATATATTATGATATAACATGATATTCACTGTTAATGATGTGAAAATGATAGTAATCATGGATATGGATAAAACTATAGAGAGAATATCGGTAGAAAGGTTTTTGAGGTAGATGCGAGGCTATAGAACAACACCTAATTAAAACGGGCAATAAACTTTGAGGTAATGACATTGTGAGTTCACCTAGCACCACAGACTTTGAACAGGAAAACTGAGATCCTTTCCCAGCCGATATCTCTTCCCTAATGTTTTAACTGTAGCTCCAACGTGTGAAGAAAATGAAAGTCTACTGATCGTAATAACGATTACAAATATTTGTCTAGTCCCTTTTCTATATTATTTTCTACACCTAACCCTGCTTTTCGTTGACCTCAAATCCTGAGCATACAGTCGGTCACAACATTCGAAGATTCGATCGAGTTCCATTTAAGAACTCTGTCAAGTTTGGGTCTGGTGTGGGTATTATACACAGAGCATTTCCTTGATATGAGAAGCAATATTAGCTTCAACATTTTAGAGTTTTAAGGAGAACTTTAAACCTTTACCTTTATCAAATTTGGAATTGATAATTCACTGAAGACATCTGTCATTTCTGATGTATGCATGTTTTGACTGTACGCTATGATAAATCATTGTACTATCTTTTGCGACGGCTTGCCTAGCGATCTCGTCATTACTTCTTAACGACTGCAGCTTAAATGTAATTTGAAATCACTTAATCTATGCATGATCTATGTGAATTTCAAATAAATGAATATTATTGTCATTCGACTGTGACCATTTTGAAGTCATTGGGGAAAATGATTCCATTTGGGTTGAAATAAAACACAATGGATTGCATGTAGTCCTCAAGAGTCCACAGACAAAAAACCTCAGATTCATTCATACCATTTGATAACTTACATTTTAGTTATTGGTTTTATTCATCTGTTTTGTTTCCGTTGTTGAAATTTAAAGAAGATGGAAGAGCCGATACAGCAACACTACACATTCGCCAATTTAAAATTTCAATGTTATATCCGATTTTACCAATCTGTTTCTCTGTGCCTTCTGTTTTTCATGCAAAGCAACTTTGTATGAAGGTTGGATCCACGCCGCGGCGCGCCGGCTGTAATCTTTTGAAAAACGTAATGTTAGATAGTTACCTGGTTACTGTGCTAATTATAATGTGCTAATTGGCATTTCATGACCAGCTTTCATGTCACGTCTTATCAACCAAGTAATCTAATATATATGTTATACATTCCAGGATATGGATGCTTAAGACGAAAACATATACTGTATATAATTATATATAAAACGTTAACGGGGAAGTCCATCCTGGTAATTAAAGCTTATATTGATAAAAGAAGAAAAAGAAGAGAAACAAATTCGTGAAGTTTGAGCAATATTCGATTAAAAATAGAAATGTAATATGTATGAATATTTGAATGTTTCAAGTTTCAAGTTTCAAGTTTTCTCAATGTAGTACAAATTGGCAACACTGTGACGTATCTTTCGAGGTCCTCCTATTTTCTTAATCAAAAGTAGGGTGCATGTTTGATGGAAAAAAATTCCATAGGGAAAAAATATATTTCAGATTTGTTAAAGATTTAAATACAGAGCAAATGGGAGGGGACCTCCGAAATAAGTAACACAGATGTCATTTTCTTTTTGATCGACCGCAACTTCATAAATTATTCATAACTTTTCACTTTTCCATCGGATTTCGCTAAAACTTTAACTGACAAGCTCTTCTCATTCGTTTGCTTCTTGCTATCAAGGGGGACATGCATTCCCTTTATAAGGGAGCCTGCAATTTGTGATTGTGATTGGGATCAGAGTGCAGGTAGAAAAATATGAGGGGGGAGAGTGGATGTGGTGGGGGGGGGGGGATTAGACAAAAATAAAAAAGTTTATGATTTAAAAAATTGAGAATGGCCATAATGTGTGATAGTTTTAGATGGATGAGATTTCCATTTTCGCTTGCACGAACATGACACACTATTTCAGTGTTTTTAAAATACCTCCTTTAAACATATTACACATTAATTTAGGGATATTTAGAGTGATGTAGGGGTAAAAAGCAGGAGTTATGTACATGTGACGTCACACATAAGCATGACAAATAACATATTGATAGACGAAGATCCCCCATATGACATTCAAAATACCCCCCCCCAACAACATCAAAAAAAGGTCGGATTTTCTCGAAAATTCACAAATTATTTTATCTCGCTGATTATCATTCATTGTTCAGCCCACCTTCTTTACGAAGGATTAATTTCCGTTTAACGAGAGAGTGATAGAATTTCTGGACAATCAATTAGTCTAATTGTCTAAGTTGTCTGGGTTTAGTTTACACAATGAGTGATAGATGGGATCAGTATAAGGCAAAGGTCGTGTTTATTATTTGAAAAGGTTTTGAAGGCGCAGTCCAATGATTAGTAGACTTTGATGATTTTCCATGGAAGTATCGAAAATGGGTCAAGCTCGCTATCCATAAGGACCGCTATCCATATGGACCATTATTCATAAGGACCGCTATCCATAACGCCTTATCAAATGAATAGCGGTCTTTTATAAGTAGCCGTCCTTATAAATAGCGAGTAGACCCCTCGAACATAATTCATACTTGTATTTAAAATTTGTGTAGAGTTAAGATGTAAATGTTTTTTCAAACAGTGATTTTTAAACTTAATTATCATGTCATTTGTGCATGGTTGTTTGTCATTCATATACAACCAAATGTCATCAGTATCGAACTTGTTTTAATGATTAACCTTGGTGGCCATCCCATTATGATTGTGTAGGCCTAGTTCCATGTTATTGACATTACTATTGACATCGTCAAGCTGTAATTACACTGGCTGCTCTTTTTTTCCTTCTTTTTGTAACACAGGTAACACCCTCCAGTCTGCTGACAGCAAACACTCATCAAATAACATTAAGCGGTCATCTTGTGCAAAACAGCAGCAGCAGCAACAACCTTCAAGCACGACGCTGAAGCCGCCCAAATCTGCCCGGCAACGGCGTAAACCCCGTGTTCTCTTCTCCCAAGCCCAAGTGTACGAGCTGGAACGTCGCTTCAAACAGCAACGGTATCTATCAGCACCAGAGCGAGAGCAGATGGCAAATGTTCTGAAGCTTACGCCGACTCAAGTCAAGATCTGGTTCCAAAACCGACGTTACAAAAACAAGAAACAACGCGAGACTAAGACCATTGATTTAGGAACGGCGACCGCCGTCGCAGCCGCAGCCGCAGCGGCTAGGCACCAGCAAAACAACGACCAGTACTCAGCACGTCGTGTGGCCGTACCGGTCCTCGTACGGGACGGTAAACCTTGCTCGGGTTCGTCCAATCCGCCGCCTTATTCCTATTCCTGCACCAACTATACAGTTGGTGGTACCTCCAATACCCAAGCCACATCCTTCTCGAATTCTTGTAATTATGAGTACACCACACCACAAAGCGATCAGTATCTTGAGTCGTCCATCACTAGCAACCGAACTTGGTGAGAATTCTCCAATCAGTACTCTTCAACTGATAGTCTTCCAGACTTTTTACATGACTTTGTAGATATTGATTATCGTATGAACCAATCTGTTAAAAATTTTCCACCAGGTTTACTTCTTCAAGTTATTCATTATGTACCATTTACTCTGGAAAGAAGGACTGTGTCCTCGTTGCACCCATAGTCATAGGCGAAACAAGTTCGTGAACTCTTGAAGAAGTTGGATGACACTTGGGATTATAATCCGGGGGAGCCGCTGCTGTAAACTCCTTGCTCAAACAATACAGTTGTCATGATATTTCTCATGCTTTATCGAATAAACGATACTGGTGTACTTCATTAGGGTTTAACTTCATATTTTTCTAGCTCAATGTTATCTATCAATTTTCATTTTTATGTAAATGATGATTGATGTGATACAACCTGTGTTTGAGTATTAAACTCCAAGTTGTTCTTGCCAAACTTGATTTAGAAGAGCGACACCATACCACACACTCTAAAAGTGGACATTATATTTCGGTATTATTGGTCGGTAGTTTTAGCCCTACATCTCACATATATAGAAATTTTCTCCCCAACTTTGTATGAGTATGTATTAATTTAATCAGAATGTTAATCTGGTAGGTAATTATGAACATTAAAATACCGTCTTTTCATAGCCAGAATTGCACGTATTTTTTTTTCTTTTCTTGTACTTTAAAAAAAATTCACTTGTAAGTACTGTACAACACACTTTGAGAACTAGAAATCAGCTTTTCACAATTCCTTGTACATCTCATTTGCATTTACCAATGAGATTGGAGTCACTATTTTTATCAAATAAATGCCAAATTTACTGCAGTATTATTGATGTTTATGTCGGGAAATACGCAAGCCATTCACTGTATACTTTCCACCAAGTGCTGTGCAATTCAATCAAAATACAGAGTGCACAACATACTGCATATATAATTTTCAATACTGACGAAAGAACTGTTGTATTTACAAATGTTTTATGGAATCATTCGGAATTCTAAAAAAAATAGAGATAATTTTGTATTTGTTTTATTTTAATAGAAACATCCATTTGACTCATGCACACGGATAGAATAATATTTCAACCCCAAACGTGTCCCTGCAACAGCAGCTTCAGGGGTGCTAAGTGTTAGAGATATTCCCCCACCGAACTGATTTTGTACATTACATACCAGGTAAAAATGTCAGATGTAGAAATGTCAGAGGTAAAATTTCAGAAGTAAAAATTGTAGGGGTAAACATGTCAGTTGTAAAAACGTCAGAGGTAAAAATGTCAGAGGTATAAACTGTCAGGGGTAAAAATATCCAGAAGTAAAAATATGAGAGGTAAAAATATCAGAGATGAAATGGACTTTTAATTAAAGAACTGTTTTTCGTTACCTTTAACATTTCTACTTCTGACATTTTTACCTGTGACATTGTTACACCGAACCTGATAGAAATGGGTTCAACATTTGGATAGTTTTTCTCTGGAGTGGTGTCATAGTTATTGCCCTCGTCACGTTTTTCAGCTTTATTTGAAATATTGAGATGTGTAATACCAACTTTGGTAAATGTTGTTTGAATAATTTTTTTTTCTTCAATTAAGATTGTTTTTTACGAAAAGTTGTGCATATATATCCGATATATATAATTGGCCTAGAAAAATCTTTGGGGCACCTATATGTATTCGAGTTTCATCCAGGACTGTTTTTGAACTTCAAAGCCCGATTCAAAGGTGATTTATTTTCTTTGTTTATGTTAGAGCAAGGTGTTACCCACGTTTTAGGAAATGAGGGGAAGAAATTATGCCATGTGCCTTATTAACCACGAAATTATGAAAAAGATACCTAGATCTTAATTAGGTTACTTTACTGAAATGTATCACTATGGATTACACAAAAACTGTATCATTCACGTTTAATATTAGGTAACGAATCTCACATAGATTAGTTACATAGTTTTCTAAAAATCTTTTCCACGGAGAGTAGAACTTTCTTGCATGTTTTTAATTTCAATTTTTAGTTGTAGGCAATTAACTTAACCTCTTATAGAATATTCACCAGTATTTTAGACAAAATATTTGTCAATATACTTCATGTAAATATGTGTATATATTACCATTGTGTGGAATAACTTTGTGAAATGATAAATAAAATGATCTTCATTGAACTTGAAACAAAAATTCTCTGGAGTGGTGTCATAGTTATTGCCCTCGTCACGTTTTTCAGCTTTATTTGAAATATTGAGATGAAATGACATAGGATGGAATATGCTACCCAAAACTGAAATATGATGAATTCAATCTAGGGCCTATACGGCGCTGCAGGTGACGAGTTTAAACTCTCTCAACCCAAACGCCTGTTTTTTTTTCTCCAGAAAGTCCGTATAAACGCTTATTCTCAATAAGATTAATGTTTCTACACGTTATGACAGACATCGTGACACCGAGAGTTACAAATCATTTCTAAACTACATTCGTGTTTGGTGAAAACATCATCATTGTGCGTTCGTGGGAGACGCTGCTGTTGATAATGATTATTCATAACATTTGCACGGCGCCATATGTTTTAGTAGAAAGTCATTAAAAAGCTTAAATTTGATGCAAATTCAAAATAATAATAAACATCATACAATTTTGAAGCTAAAGATCCAAAGTTAACGTAATGAAAGAAAATATGTGAAAGGTTTTGACACTCAAAATGAAAAGATATTGAAAATTCATCAATTATCCAAGATTCCTCATTTCTCCGATTGGATCTTGATATAATAATAAATCTGGATTTATTTAGGGCTTAATAGGGAATACCATGTCTAAGCGCTTTACAGACATATGTTATGGCTTGTTATTACAGTCGTACTATGGTCTGATACATATTCTCCGACACCACAAACCGTCAGAGTTGCACACTAAAGTGTTGGGAGAGGCGCAAAACGTCAGATCCTTGCACTCTTGCAATGACTTTCTGTCGAACACATCAATATTGTTTATTGCCCTATTGGCCGTGCTCTGGGGCGCGGGAGACAGCGAGTGACAGTGTTTGCTCCAGGAGGGAAATTTAAGAGCTCATCTTATCTACACTGCTTGTTTAACCCCTGGATATTTGTTGTAAATTTAACATTTTCATCAGACGAGCCCAGAAATTTATATGGCGTTATCGTCAGTTTTTATGTGTTATCGCGAGATATGAGTTCGTTCGTTCGTTTGTTTGTCTTCACGTATCGTGCGTATAGGCCTATATTTACATGTCACATTCTTAACATCTATTGTAGGGCAACAGGATGGGTTCAAAGCCCGCATAGTGTTTGATAATAATAAAAATATACGTCATGAAACTACAGAGAGAAGGAGAGAGAGGGAGATAGAGAGAGAGAGAGAGAGAGAGAGAGAGAGAGAGAGTGAGGGGGAGAAGAGAGGGGGGGGGGGTAAGATGAGGGGAAGGGCAAATATTGAGGTAGAGTAATGGCGATAGGGAAGGTAAAGATTATTGATTCAAATCAGATATAATGATGGTACCAGAAAATGAGAAATAGGCAATAAAACAAAGAGGGGGAATATAGAAGCAGGAGGGAGAGACAAAGAGAGAGAGAGACAGAGAGAGAGACAGAGACAGAGAGAGACAGACAGACAGACAGAGAGAGAGGGGGAGAAGAGGGGTGGGGCGGTTGGGGAAGACGGGAAGATAATGGAAGAATGCAGAGACAGGCAGCTAGAGAGAGAGAGAGAGAGACAGCTCGATAGATAGAGAAGAGAGAGTGAGAATATAGAGGGGGAGAGAGAAAAAAAGAGAGAAAGAGAGAGAGAGAGAGAGAGAGAGGGGGGGGGGGATAGATAAAGAGGGAGAGAGAGGGGGTCGGGGGAGACGGGAAGATAATGGGGAATTTTATAGAGACACATAGACATACAGCTCTAGAGAGAGTGAGAGAGGGAGAGAGAGTGAGATAGATAGAGAGAGAGAGAGAGAGAGAGAGAGGGGGGGGGGGGGAGAGGGGGGGGGGGGGAGGAAAATTTTGTTGTTGTGATTCATTGGAAGAAAAAGTTGCAAAGTCATTGGACACAATAGTTTACCGGTTTCTTTGCTAATTAAGCCATGGGTATTTCTCTTTTCCCGTGCGTGTCTCTTGCTTCCCTTAGTTTACATTTAAAACGATGGTTACTAAACTCTCTTTTGTTGTCAGTCTTTAAGAGTGAAACTGGCTTCATTAATTCAGGATTCTACAGAAAGTCTTAATATTTCCTCTTCCGTCGTTTTGTCTTTTTATTACATCCCTGGAAATAGTTTCGACTGTACACATGTGTTATTCAAAATAAAATAATACATTGTTGGTTGTGATTTGGAAATGATACTAAAGATTTGATATTACTTCCATGTGTCACATTTATTCGTTTTTTAAAAAATATTTTTATTTATGGTCAGCGCATAAATCAGAAGGTGAAAGAGAAAACGCATGAATGCTAAGGCCGCAGTAATAGTATATTTAAAAAATCCCTTGGAAGCGCATATTATTATTAGGCTATGATGATTATTATTATCATTAATATCATCACTGTTATCATCATTAATATTATCACATATGAAGGCTTATTGCTTATCTTACTTTGAATAATTATAGTAACTGTTTTCATTTTTGTATAATTTGTTACTGATTATTTTACACTTGCAAAGTCACACACACACATATACACACGTACAAATGTATTTTGATAATTGAAATTTGGTATGTGGTATGTGTAGCATGATTAAATCTGTTAGGGATGTGATTTGGATCTGCAAAGACCTAATTATAATACCAAAATCCCAACCGTTTTATTCAAGCATCACATTTAAGCAACTTTGGCGCAAGTCGATTTTTGCACTCTCGCAAACAATGCCTCCTGTTCATGCAAGCGTGAACACATTCCACACAAAAATGATTCTAAGTCATTTGGAATAAAGAACTCTTTATTGAGTTGTAGAATAATTTACTGTCCATAGATGATTTTTAAAATAATTAGCATTTTTATAGGTGTAAACATTTTTTGTATCACACTCTAGTTGTTGTAATACTCAAATATGAAGCGATACAACAATAAGATTGAATCTATAATCTATAATTCAGACGAACGCAAATACTTTCGAAAAATAAATGGTCTTCTCTATCGCCAGTTGAAATGTGCGAACAGCACAATTATATATTACGTAATCCAAACAGCCATGATTTATCTTGGACATACGATAGGGTAATGACAATTCCCTTGAGTTGACTAATTGAAAATCTCTGCGATCTTGTGTATACTCTTCATAACTAATATCAAACTCTTTTCAGGTTCTACATGAAAAGGGGAAATATTTGGTCATCTCTGTTGTGGCAAACTTATACATGACACCAATTCTACCCCCCCCCCCAAAAAAAAAAAAAAAAAAAAAAAAAAAAATATATATATACATTGTTGGGTCGGGGCAATTAGCCCTTCCACAACGCAGAATTATTACCTTTGATCCGTTTATTGCTCTCAACTCGAGCCACATCTTGGAATTTTGCATATCAATCAACATCTCATTTGCATATTCGTAACAACATACTTTAAAATTGTTTATCTCAAGGAAAAAAAATGTCATAAAATTGATTTAAAAATGCAGAACTGTTTGAAAATAATATTACTTGTATGCATGAGGCCTTTTTCAAACAAAATTTATAAACTGTCCAAAAAGCTATGGTAATAATATTGATAGTCGTTGTACTGATATACTTTAATTACTTCATCTGTTACCATCTTAAAAAGAAATTAAAGGAGTTTAGGATGAAGCGGTATGTAACGAGGAAGATATGAGAGAAAGAGAGAAAGAAAGAGAGAGAGAGAGAGAGAGAGAGAGAGAGAGAGAGAGAGAGAGAGAGGAATAGTTATCACGGGTTGCGTCATTATAGTACTTTGAATTTTAAAAATGTAATTATAAACCTGTGTAGTAAATCATGCCTGCGAATTCTTTTGCTGATTTCATTCATGAGGTATCAAATTTTCTCTTTCTCTGTCTAGTT